CCGTATAGACGATCCAGGCTCCTATCTTCTCACCGCTTGTTGGCCACAAGGGCCCCACGCAGCTTTTCCACCGCACACTGAGATTCTTTGGAAAGGGCACCAAGGTCAACCCACGGTTTGCAGGTCTCGGCCGCAGAGTCGACCAGCATCTCATCGGATTTAGCCCCGTTCATTGGCTGCCTGACCACACTTGCGACCAGGCTTTCGCCCATCCACACGGATCCTGAGGCATACTCGACGTCCACTTCTGCTGCCAGTGTGTCAGAAATAGCCCCCAGAGATCTTTTCACCCAGGCGCAGTGTGCACCGGTCTCTCTCTCCTGTTTGGTCTTCGAGTAAGAGCACCACAATCTTTTCCCGGAGGACGTTGTGGCATTAGCTCCGTTGATCGCGAGCAGCACCCGATGCATGCGTGCTTTTCTGCCTGACTCCAGCTCGTGCAAACGAAGGGGCATATTTAGCAAGGCAATGCTCCTCCTGGGACCTGTCGTGAAGACTTCCTCGTCAACTTGGTCTGTAATGTGCAGCTTAACAAAGGCCTCCGTCAGCTCTCTGGTGATCACGTTACGGCGGGTGTCTCTGTCCCACCCTCCGAAAACGAGGGTCTGCTTGCGGCGTTCATCCCCCAAGACCTGTCCTCCGCCTTTCATAAGCTGCTCCATGCGAGTCAAGCGCCCCTGCAGCGAGTCCATGGAGTCCGAGAGGGTGCGGGTCACCGTCTCCACCTCCGATATCCTGGCGTCATGCCTCTCCTCGAGAGACTTAACCAGCCCTTCCGTATGCTCCCTGTTGGCCTGAAGGATCTTCTGGGATTGCTCTTCCAGTAAACCTCGGAGGTCCCCAAGCGTCACATTGGCAAGGCTAACGCCGTCTCCCCCTGAGACCGCCCCTGCAAGCCCTGTTGTACTCGGCACTGCCTTCTTAACTTTGTTCGGAGCGCCCGCCTGCTTGGACTCTCCCGGCCTTTTCCGAGGGCTTTCCAGATCCTCATCTGCATGGTCAGGAACGTGCGGCGCCCTCGCCCCAAGTTGCATGACCGCACGGCGAAGCACCTAGCCGGCCTACCAGGAGTGGGGGGAACCACGCACCTCGGCCTTGAGCCAAAATGGCTACGGTTTAGGGCTTTAGGGTTTAGGGACCCAAACCCCGAGCCTCCAAATCCCTGAACTCCCAGCCCTGTTAGCCAAGTCAGCTGCCGCAAACACTTCGGGCGACCTCAGGGTAGGGCCGATCGGGTCCAGGGAGGGCTAAGGCTAAGGGTAGATGTCTTGCTTTGTTGAGGGGTCTGTAAGGCTTCTGTAGGGGTTCTATAGTAAAGCCCACGAAGTTGGAAACCGGATTAAGGACAATTACAGCTGGGATTCCCTGTGCAGTACTCTTAAGGCTACTGGCTTTCCAACTTTTGGGCTTCTACTTTATTCGAGTTCTGTAAAGCATTTAGCAAGAATTCCAAAGGGTTCGAAAGCGGGAAGGGCTCCACAAGGGTTCCATAGTCCACCTCCGCGTACCAAAAAAACACACTTGTTCGTAAGCAACCAAAAAACTCAAGGCTCACAATAAGAACCTACAGCAAGTCGATTTTGCTAGCTTATAAGGTATGGGCTCTACCCGGGTTTAGGTCTTCGTTGAGGTCCTGGGTTTCAGGACTCAACTTTCAGGTTGGTCCGTACAGGGTTACTCAGGTTTAGGGTCTAAACCCTAAACCCTAAACCCTAAACCCTAAACCCTAAACCCTAAACCGTTTATAGGTCGGTGTGCCGGCTCCAGGTTGTTATGGGCTCTACATGCCTATTTGGCGGCTGCCATAGGAGTCATTGGAGTTTAGGACTTAGGGTAATGAACCAGAAGCTTTCGGCTAAGGGCTTCGCATTTGGTCTTCTTGACAAAGGCGTCTTTAAGAGCGGTTTGGGGTCTTGTGTTGATTGCAGCTTGGCTCTTTATACGTAATACTGTAGCAGGGGTTTAGGGTTTGGGAAGGTATGGCTCTGGGTTTAGGGCTTTGGGATTGACTCGAAAGCTTCTAGCCCTTGAAACTGAGGCTTCGGGCCTTGGGGTTCTTGTTAAGGGATTTAATTTAAGTTACCATAATAAGGAAACCATATTATTCACCATAGATCCCTATTATGGTAACTTAAATTAAATCCCTTAACAAGAACCCAGGCTTTGGGGGGTGTTCGGGACTCGGGTTCAAGGGATCGTTGTACGCAGTGGTGCGCATTACAGGTTAACAGGGAAGGCCCAGGACAACTCCGCTAAGTTCGTGTAGGGGCCTTGAAGATTGAAAGACGGATTTGAGGGCATGCCATGGCCACAACTCGGCTTTGGAACCTGAAGGCACAATCTACCCAAACATCCCCAACACCAAACCCCACAGCCGAAACCCCAAAACCTGCAACCCCAAACCCTCAAACCCCCAAAACTTACTGAGTCAGGGCTCTCATACCAAACCTTCATAGAACCCTCATAGAACTCTTGCGACAAAACCCTTCAAGGCTCATATATCATCGAGTCATTCCGGGGATGATTAGCAGGAGACGAGCTCCGACGGCTCAAGAGATGAGGACAGGCAGAAGAAAAAGCTTTAAGGTTAGGTTTAGGGTTTTAGGGTTTAGGGTTTAGGGTTTCGGGTCTGAACCCTAAACCCTCAACCCTCAGCCCTCAACCTTAAACACCATCTTCTCACAAATCCTGCACCGGAAGACATGCTGCAAACCGAAGATACCCATCAGCTCGTACAGTAGACCGACTTGAGCTTATTTTGAAATCCGGGGGCATGTGTCAACATTAAACACTGTTCAACAATTGTTATACAACCCCATATGGGAGCCTTATCTTGGGGGTCCTTATAATAAGGATCCTACTATTTAGGGTACTATATTAGGGTCCCCAATTTTGGAAACCCCCAATTAACACAGCATGCATGAAAGGACCTGAAGCCCAGGAGGGAACTCAGGCTCGAATTGAACGAACAGTTGGTCAGCTGTTCAGGTATATGACTTAGATAACATATATATATATATACATATATATATATATAGCAATTACAACCTACAAAACATTGAGTCTATAACTATATATATATATACACACAAGCTTGCAAGTTCGCTTTTCTCACTCGCAAGTTCGTTAGCAGCAGCTCGAGCAAGCCCCGAGCGGTGCCAATAAAACAAGGCAGCCGAATCAAACGCTTGCATCAGCCCTGGTTTCAAAGCCCACTACGAGTCGCCATCCAGCCTCCATGTTACATGGATTTTTTCGTGTCACGACTATCTGGAAGCTCAAGTTGCTTGCATGCCCCTGGAAGTGTTGATTGAGATCGTCGGCGATCTGACGATGTGCTCGGGGCGCTGCACGTACATACACCAACAGCAGGCACAACAAGACAAAAAGCGATGTCATTGCCCCTACAAAGGATGGAGGCGGGTCACCGCCCTTATCAAAGGCTCTTCCTGACAGGGCTAAGAGGATCATCGAGAGTCCGAAGGCGAAAAGACATGCCATCATCCCAATCACGAGGCATCTGTGGAGTCGAGAGCCCCCTGCAATGATGTCGCAGAGGGAGTCGAAATCGCTTTGCGATAAGCCGCAGACTCTCTTCAACTCCTCAAGTTGCCTCCTGCTCAACGCTGTGGTTACTGAATCAAACCAGAGAGGCGTGCGCTACCACTTCACCGGATTGTGACTGGCTACCGTGTCTTCAGACACAGGAACGGCCGGCGCCAGAACCACCTGCTGCGACTGTAGGTTCCGGAGCACATCCTCCACTTACGCCTGAGATACGCCAGCCTGGAGCAGGGCCTCCCTCGCATTGACTTCGGCCATTGCGCAGGTGCGAAGCCGCGAAGCTTGGCTGGATACTTTCAACTTGAGCCGCCTCAGCAGATTCTAGATTCTAGGACTTGCGATCTTTCGGCCAGTCAAGAAATGAGGGTGGCAGTTGCGGGCCATGCCAGCTTCATTCAGCAGACTTGGCAAAGGAGCATCAGAAAAGCGCGTGCTTTGTGGGCAACGATACGCCTGATCATTCAGAGGTCGCTTCTAAACCTTCTGACCGCGAGAAGCCCCGGACGAAACCAAAACTGGACCCTCAACCGCCAAAACAAACCAGCCAAAATCGAAAGCCTGAGCCTGAAACCTAAAAGCCACGGAAAACTCACAGCTTGCGAGCTCATCTGAGGAAGCCACCGCCAAATACTGACGTCCTCCGGCCATTCGTCGCCGCGATTTACGGACAACGACATCCTTGGGTCAGCAGACTTGAGGAAGCCCGGTGCGGGGATTGCTCGAAGCTGAGATTTTAGAAGTTTTCTAGATTGATCCGATCCCCCACCATTTTGGGTGGTTTTTGGGTCTGTTGGGTCTCGGGTCGAAGCCAAAGGGATTCTGTGGTTCTGCGGTTAAGCAGTAAGTTGACAGGAATTAGCAGTTGGGCATTCCAAACCCCGAAAGGTTTAGGAGAGAGCCTCACCAAAACCCCAAACCCTGAGCGCCTTGAATTACAAAAGAGGGTGTTTGAGATTTCATTCAGGGCCGAACGGCGTGGTGCTTTGAGGCTGGCTTTGGCGATAGGAGGTTGAGGCCATAGGTTTGTTGATCTCGGGTTTAGGAGTCAGGTTGAGGATGTAGGTTTTGGGCCTACGCGCTCAGGCACCTGCGGACATCCGGACGAGAACTTCGTTTCCGCCTTTACGGTTTAGGCCAGACTTTGCAAGACGACGAAGAGGAGAGGAGCGCCCGCAGGGCGCTGCCGAAGGCTACCTTGCAACAGTTTGGAGATCCCATGAGACATGAGGCTTTTGCTGAGCCCTTCGTCTCTAAGGGCCCTAAACCCTAAACCCTAAACCCTAAACCCTAAACCCTGAAACCCTAAACCCTGAAACCCGCCGGGGCACCGGAAAAGCTGCCCGATAAGATAGTTGGAGCTGACCTGATGCTACGGTTTCTCAGGATTGGAATTCCATTCTTGTGATGCAAAGGGCTGAGGCTTCAATCTGCGCTTTGCTTTCTAGGTATAGGATTTCTTGACAGCTTGGGGCTTGATGCGTATCTTACTGTAATGATCCCGGGTGCAGAGGGTCTAAAGAAAAAGGCTGGGGCATTTCTGTTCTGAATTTTCTGAAGCACCTGCTTTCTTTTCTTCATGCTCGCTCGTGCGTGCACTCACTGGGCAGCTACCAAAGTAAGGATTGTGCCAGATCCTCAACCTTACACCTGAAGGCCACAACCGAAGCAAGCGCCGATAATCGACACCTCAATTCCCAAACCCAGGACCAACAAACGCCAGAAGACTTGATAAAGAGTTGAGACACCCAAACCGCGAGGCAGCTGCAAAGGGTTCGGCTTACGGCTGTCTTATTCTGGGCTTAACCGCTGCAGTATGGAAGTGGCTGCTACGGCTTGCGATTAAGCCGAGGTTAACGCTTTTTATCTCTCACGGGCGGAATGGTCTACTGGCGCCGATATGCATGTCCTGCATGCATGAAACCGTTCGATGAGCTTGTTGGCTGCTTAGGCTTTCATTATATTATGACCGAGGCTGGCCACTCGCGGCCGCAGAAGCCGACATGAGGAGTCAAGACATCTCTGAAATGATCAGTCCGCCTGACCTTGTGCTGGGACGCTATGCTTCCGGGAGGATGTGCGAAGTAGATGCTTTCCATTTACCGCATACATCATGAGCTTCGTGACATCGTTCTAGCTGCTGCGTTCCGAATCCTCACGCTCTGAATTTTCATACTGCCAAGCCTGGGCACCGCGCAACACGAAAACTCAAAAAAGAAGCCTAAACCATAGATCTTCATTACCCCCACCCTAAACCGAACCTTGGAGTTTGAAAGCCTGAACGATGATTTGAAACGATTCCAACGTGCGAAGACCTGGGTGCGTCTCAGAACCCTGCATTGGCCAAATGTTCATTGATGAGGTCTTTGACCTCTCCGAGCTTGGGGAGTTCGGGATTTTTTAGGCTTTATGGCTTCAGGGATGAAGTAGCTCGGGGGGGGGGGGGTTAGGGCTCAGGG